GCTTGGCATCTCGTCTTGTCACTTTCTCACCAACGTCACGTGACTTCCTTCTGTCTTTTCTACAAACATTTTCATGGCAACTGCTCTGACGAGCTTTTTTCCCTGATGTCCCGAATACAGGAAGTTAAGCGTCCTAATAGATTTACAGCTAGGTCCCACCCTTTTACTGTTGGAAGAGTTAAATTTAACCGCCACTTCTACTCCGGCAGTTTCTTTTCTTGTACTTCTCGCCTGCGGAACTCCCTTCCGTTTACTTGCTTCCCTACAAAAACTACAATCTTCAGGGATTTAAATTCAACGTCAATCGCCATTTTCTGTCGTCTTGAACCCCGTTCAGCTTTTATACGTTCCTCAATGCTCAGTCTTTTCTCTCTGTAAACCCTGCGTACTAGAGGCATTTCTGCTTTGCTTGGGGTGAAAATGATTTAAAAAGTTAAAGATTAAAAAAAAATAAAAGAAAGAAGATAAAAAAAATCATATGTATTTCCCTGCGTACTCAGAAGTTGGGGTGTCTGAAACGTGTACGCATAAATGTTTGAAAAAGAAAATCTTATTTACTAATTCGTTGTTTTCAAGAGATATTTATCTAGTTTGACACTGACGGTGATGTCCGAAATTGTAGTGAAGTCCTTACTCAAGCATATTGTTCCAGTTATTTACATCTGCTTATTATTATTATTATTGTTTTTATTTTCTTTGATTTCTGGCGTTTACACATTTCTTTCCGGGTCCCGCCCAGGGACCTTAGGTTAGAAATAGCGTCATGACACTTTCCACTGACAAAAAAAAAAATTAAATTACATAGATAAAGCCCTTCGTAAGGTGTGGGCTGTACTTGTCAAAAAAAATTTTTTGTATCTCCTTGAGGCATGAACTTCCAGGAATCCCTTCAATTAGTCTACTGCAATCTTTTCCAACCAGTCTTAGGGCTCCAACTACAACAGGGATTGTTGATGTTCCCATATGCCACATTTTCGAGATTTCTATTTCAAGGTCCTTGTACTTTGACAACTTTTTATTACTATTATTATTATTATTATTATTATTATTATTTCCTTTGATTTCTGTTATATACACATTTCCTTCCGGGTCCCAACCAGAGACCTAAGGTTAGAAATGTCTTCATGACATTTTCCATTGACTATTTTTGTGAAAAAAACAAAACAAAAACAAAATTATAAGACACACCCATTTTACATAGGTAAAGCTCTTCGTAATGCGGTAGGTATACTTGAAAGTATCATTTTTGTGTCTGTCAGTAATCCCTTCAATAATTATTATTGTTATTATTATTATTATTATTTCCTTTGATTTCTGTTGTATACACATTTACTTCTGGGTCCCAACCAGAGACCTAATGTCAGAAATGAATTAATGACAATTTCCACTGACTATTTTTGCGAAAAAAAAACTCTAAGATCACACCAATTTTACATAGATAAAGTTCTTCGTAATATGTGAGCTGTACTTGTGAGTACATTGTTTTCTATTTCTTTAAGGCATGAGCTACCAGCTATTCTCTCCAATGAGTCTATCGGAACCTTTTCTAATCAATCTATCATAGAATATTCTAAAGTCCCACAAAATTGTTATTGGATCTGGGTGATGTTCATACCAGTTCCTTGCAGTTTCCTTCCCGTAAAATTTGCATATTTTCCTATGCAGATATTAGTGTCATGTCGAGTTTTATATTCAGTGGTTACTAACACTGCAACTTGATACAAGATGGTCAATTACTTCTGGATATTTATCACTGAAACTACGTTGTATGTGTGCTTGGTAATTTCCAATTAGCAAGCATTGGTCCTGTGCAGCATGAATAAATCCATCGATTTCAGATTTTAACCCAGCACTACATAACCATTGATGGTTACGTGGTTTGTCCATATCAGCTTGTCTGGTACGGGCAGAGTATTGACCATGAAGAGGCTTATCTTACCATCGTTTCTGCATTTGGTACATTGTATTTGATTTGTTTTCTTTTCTAGATTCTTTACCGTTGCAGTCAATTTATTAGGGAGTCTTTGAAATTATTCACACAACTGAAATTCCCTTTTGAATTTGTTGGCTTCCTTTATTACTGAATAAACTTTCTTATTTCTTTCATGTTCTTTCACACAAATCATCATCCAATCTTCAGTAGTTTTTTGTTATCTTTAAAGACTGATTGTTCGCTTTTTTGTAAGATAGGTTTTTTTGTAAAAAATCTGTAAAAGCAGAGTTATACTTTTCTACCAGCCATTTGTACAACCTCCGTAGGGAGGTTAGGCACTGCTTTTTTCTGCTCCATTTGCTTTCACTGTGTCTTGTGAGTTTTCAATTTTCCAAGCCCTCTTTCCTCATTATGAGCCCTAAATATTTCAAATGATTCTAATATTAAGTATACGTGTCCCTTTCGATTCCATTTTCCTTAAAACGTCCTCTTTGCTTACACGCTCCATCCATACTATTCTCAGCATCCTTCTGTAGAAATATATTTCTGTTGCTCAAGTATTTTCTTCATCTGTGAGGAGATTTATTATTATTCTTTGTCATATAGATCTAATTTCATAACAGTTATCTTCTATTTTCTTCGTTTCTAACGAAATTTTCCTATTTCTTAATACTTCGCTTAGCTTTTTCAAGGTATCATTCGCTACCCCAATGCACCTTCGGGTTTAGCTATTGAAGTTTTCGTCCTATCTTAAAATACTTTCCAGATATTGAAATTATTGGATTTACTTGCTTTTGCTATCTCCAATATGTAATTTGCATTTTCGGCTGCTTCTTTTGATGACATTTATACATTCTGACAAGAGAACGTAAATAATGCAAATATGTTGTTAAAATGTTGCTTTCATTTGCCTTTCCTACAATATGGAATCTGTATAAGGCCTGTTTTTTATCATTTTATCCAAAGTAAACCAGTGAAGCCACTAAGGCACAAGGGGTTACTGAGTGTAAAAGAATAATCCAAAATAGAAACATTATTAAGGAGAAAGAACAATAGAAGAAGAGTAATCAGGAAGACACTAGATAACGATTGACAGTGCATTTAAATTTTGAAGAGTTCCCCAAGCGAGAAGTGCGGGAAAAGAAACTGTTAGCATAGAACTTACGGTAGGATCTAGCCAATTCAACTGAAAACTAATGAGATCCTTTTGCCAATCCAGTACTGCGCTTAATTTCATAAAATCTACAAACCATAATGGAACCATCCTCCGAACAATTACCATGAAAGTATTTATAGAAATGTCACAGGGAAGGAAGCTACATGACGGTGGTGAGAAAGTGACTGCAGCCGACATGCCAGGTCAGGACCAATAATATTGCTGATTCTTCTTTGGATTTTATCAGGAACCTCTAAATATATAGCAGAAGTATATGCGGCACCAATATTCAAAGTATGAACAAATGGTAAACTTATAAATATTTAAGATAGATTCTAGAGAGAAAAATTGTCTTGTAGGATACAAGGAACCAACTTTCTAAGCATTAGACCAAAAGCAAATTATTCATCATAATCTTTACACTTCATGTCAGCTGAAAATGTTAAACACGAAATAGCGTGACGAATCACTCTCCTGGAAGTTTTCATCAGCCGTACTTAATAGGAGGCTGAAGGGGTCTCTCAGATGATTATTAGATTTTCGTTTTAGAGGCGTTAAAATTAATAAGCTATTTCTTGTCCCAGATAAAAACAGATTGTAGGTCATTTTTGAGATCATCTACCAATTTGACCTTATCGAACTGATCAGACTTACTACTAAGATGTAAATAGTTTTATCAGCATAGATACCGTGGTTAAGAACTAATCCAATCAGGAAAGTCGTTTATGAAAATTAAAGACAAAGTAGATTATGGGGAAATCTAGAAGAGTATCCAGAAGATCTAGAAGAGTGGCTAGAAGATCTAGAAGCGTGGTCAGAAGATCTTGAAGCATAGCTAGATGATCTAGAAGAGTAGCCAGAAGATATAGAAAAGTAGCCAGGAGATCTAGAAGAGTGGACAGATGATCTAGAAGCGTGGTCAGATCTAGAAGCGTGGCCAGAAGATCGAGAAGAGTAGCCAGAAGATCTAGATGAGTGGCCAGAAGATCTAGAAGCGTGGCTAGAAAATCTAGAAGAGTCGTCAGAAGATATAGAAAAGTAGCCAGAAGATCTAGAAGAGTAACCAGCAGATCTAAAAGAGTAGCCAGAAGATCTAGAAGAGTGGCTATTCTAGACAATTTTAATTTCGCGATTTGATAAGAAAAACTGAATCACTTCAGAAATTCGTCCAGAAATATCATAGCCTTTCAGTTTGTGAAGAAGACAGGCACGCCAAATGTCGAACGCTTTCGATATGTTCAAAACAACAGTCCGTGCTCCAGCATTCTTATGTAAAGCCTGATAGAATCTGTCAGCGATAATCGTTAATACATTAGCAGTTGACGTAGCGATTTTAAAGCTGGATTTGAGGACAGACATTAATTTCACGTCAAAAAGAGCGAAAAACTATGTGAGTAAAGCAACTTCAGACCAATATCGAACAAATATACTCCAGCGAGAACTATATTGTTCCATTCGTAATCATTTGTATTTCTCTGAAAGAAAGATCGCTACTTCAATGCATAGAGAAGATTTACTGTTATACATCTGCTTAATAAAACACATCTGGCATGGAGGACACAATACCAACACATGCAATATTCCTTGGGAATCCAGTAAGTAGCCGGGTAAGTTAATTATAATAAAAGCAATGACACAAGAATAAGACAGTGTGCCAAATATTCAGAACGAAAGAAGCAGAGATAAGACAGAGATAGTAGCAGAATTAGTAGAAGAAAGGGTTCTTTATAAAAGAAAGGGTTCTTTATAAAAGGCCACTACGTTTATTCAGAGAAGGAGATCATAAAAGGTGATCGAAATCGAACGTCATCGCATTGTTCTTTCTCGTTCCGAAATAAAACGATCACCAAAACTTGTTTAAAGTCACCAGGCAAAATTATAATTTCGCTTATGATAAATATTTTTTCCCAGCTTTCCCGCCTTTTCCCCTCCTCTCTTTCCTTCCTTTTTCAACATCGACCGCACTTTTCCATATTTCATTTACAGTTTTTCACAAGCATTCTTTGTCTTTTGTCCGCCTAGCCACATTTTAAAGGAAGCCGAGAAACAATGCGTCGATTTTGTGAATGCGTTTTTCATTGTTTTATTCGTTTTCCGCGCCACTTTTTCCCTCCCAATCTATCCAGTGCGCCATTGTCTTGTTATCGTACGCGCCTTGTCTCAGAGACACTCGACTGGCAATACCTCGCAGGCAGCAATGAGTCTTTTACAGGCATCGGTAGGCCACTTTTATAAGATTTGCATTTAGTCAAGTACACAGGAATGCTGAGAAAGACAGAGACAGAGGGAAAGAGATTGGATGCTTCTGTTAGTGTGAGAATATATCAAGATGACGGATGGCATGGAAATTTACGACGCTGGATGGAACTGGCGACAAGGCGGAGTTGTGTGAATGGGGGGACGTAGTTAAATGTAAAAGAAAATTCGTTGTTGACATGAATAAACGCATGCCTTGTATTGTGATGACAACTGCAGGCTCGTATTTTAGTGAAAAATGAAAGAACAAAAAGTTACCCAATTTTGGCGTGGACATTAATGTTATTTACTTACTTGGTTATTGAAATTGTGATATCGCTGAAAGGATTTATTAAATAAATTCCGCAAAAATTCCATTCATTCAGATATATACTGGCATATCCTTTTTCTTATAGTAGCGGTAGAAATAAAACCACAATCACAATTATCTTATGTAGCAAACCATATCCCAGCCCAAATTCTGTAAGACAAAAGTAACATTTGGTCAACTTCAAAATATTTCATATATTTCCAATGCTTACATATTTACACAACTGATACCTTTGGACGTAAAATTAAAAATTACAAAACAGATACAAACATTCATATTATTGCATATATATTGAAATTTCATGATATTTATCTGAGGTTGACTCAGAGTTTCGGGATGATTATATTAAAACAAAATGTATATTTTATTTTGTAAACGCTTATCATATATGCTGGTTAATTATTATGATGTCATTTATATATATTTGTTTATTATTAAATGTGAAAACTGCTCTCTCGAGTGGTTTGTAACACCGTAATTAATTATCTCTCAGTTGCGTCTCTATCTTTGGGCAGAGTACGCTCATGGGCGGATTCGTCATCGGACAGAGTCGCAACTGAACACAAATTATGCAGAGAGGTGTCCAGACCTAGGAAACAGTTGCCCGAGGCCGCGCTCTCTCGTTGTACCAGGGAGAGGAATCGACGGTTGCGGGGCCTGCGGGCAATTTTTGTTCCTAGCCCGGTTGGACGCGCGCTCTGGTCCCCACCTTAAAAACTAACCTTGTGTCACAACTCGTCTAAGTGGGGAGACACAGTAAATACCTAGTTTATTATTACATACTTTTTATCATTTTATTATCAAATACTATATATATATATATATATATAAAAGAAATATGTTGTAGTGGTTCCAACGAGAGAAAAGTATGTATATTAAAAAGAAGAGGGGTGCCGCAAACGTTTTTTAGTTTGTAATGTGGATTTATTGAGAAAAAATATTATACTTTGTTTTAATTTCACGACACGTGTTTCTGGTCTGGTCTCGCAACCGTCTTCAGGTGAAAGTGGAGTAAAAATCTCACTTTCACCTGAAGACTCACGAGACCAGACCAGAAACACGTGTCGTGAAATTATGTAAACAAAGTATAAATTTTTCTCAATTACAACCAAAAACGTTTGCGGCACCCCTCTTCTTTTTAATATATATATATATATATATATATAAATTTATTAATGCCCGTTCTTTTTAAATGGATAATCAAATCTGAGATTTTCTGTGTTAATTAATTTACTAAACAGCAGTATATTTATTTATCTACCATCATTAGATCTAACATGGCTTAGACTAAGTCACGTCAGATCTAATGACGGTTATCTCTAGCGGACACAGGTTCGAATTGCCTGATGCCGCATGTTTTTCTAACAAGATTTCTCAAATATTCAGCTGTTAAAATAGTACATCTACTCAAATATGAGTATCCATTTAATAAATAAGGTTTAAACAAACTCATTTTTAATATCTGTCGGATTTAATCCATTTCATATATATATATATATATATATATATATATATATATATATATATATATATTCTTAAGGTATGCTATATTTATGGGATAAAGTGCTCAATATCAGAGATAGAGCGTGTGTAAATATAAAAGTGAACATAGAAGTCAACACTTAGAGGTTCACTTTTATATATATATATTTATATATATATATACATGTGTGTGTGTGTGTGTGTGTGTGTGTGTGTGTGTGTGTGTGTGTATACTTCGTTGCATTCTGCATACCGGATGTGAACGCCATGGAGGCAGAGATCAAAAGACTTCTGCGCATAGACTCCGAGCATCACTGCCGGTCCAAGAAGCAGGCCCCCGACAATGAAAGCGACACTGGCCAATCGTGAATGTTCCTGACGAAAAAAATGTGATGTCCCTGGAGATTGCTAGATCTGCTTAAAATCATGACCACCAGGAGCAGCTGCTGGCCGTCAGACCTCTCCTTTAAATGACCGTCACCACTCCCGAGATTGACTAACCACCCGACTCTTCGCACACTGAATAAAGACTATCATCTCAATGTCATCACCACCCAGCTACAAGCCTTCCTCATCGCCAACGCCGTCACCTCGGCAAATCAGACTCACTGCAACGGCCAACTATCCAGTCTCGACACCGCCAGACCAAACAACCAACCGTCGCGACTGACCGCAAACAAGTGACACCGAATCCACAACGAAGCGACAGCAAATCCGCAAGCGTGGAACCCATCGTTTCGTAGCCAGCTACATCAACCTCGTCATTTCAGCAATCCACCGCTGTCAACTTAGCATACCAGATTCGCTACAGGTATTCCCTTTTGTTGTTGTCACTGCGGCCCCGTTTCAAAGAACAGACCTACCCGCTACGCCAATTCCTCGTCACCTTGACAAACTAAAGCACTTTACAACGAATCGTAGCCGCGATCGACCAACATGTGCGAACGACCATATCCTTTAAGCTCGGTCAAGCCAATACAAGATATAGGTCAAATCCCGGCGCTACCCTTACACCCTATCGCCATCTTGAAAAATCAGCAACTAAAAAATTAACATTTCATCGAAATCTGACTGAACTCTGTAAGACATCTTATATATTAAGCAAATAAACATTGTTTGAAAACCTAATCCTGGTTATTCTTTTCCTTTCGCAACTAAACGCTTATTATAACATATATATATATATATATATATATATATATATATATATATATATATATATATATATATATATAAGCGTGTGTGTGTATTTATCAGGAAGAATTCAACCAAACAAATGAATAGACAGATCTTGGTTGAATTTTTCCTAATTTTAGAATGAGACGTATATCGGGGTCAAATATTTGAATAAACAATCTGAAGTTCGTATTTATCCGACTTGCTTAATGGTCGTAGAATGTAAAAACGATCTGAGAGTTGCATTAAAATGTAAGAAAAGATACGATGGAAGACTAATAAATATTAATGCGAAGGACTTAAAATTCAGTTTTAAAGAAAATTCATTACATGACAAGTGGCAAATGAACCGTCCAACCAAAGTAGATCAGAATATTAGTTTTGCATGAATCAATAGTTAAGAGAAGAATTTGATACTTCGGATCTCGATTCTTTTTAAATTACCACTACGTTATAAAATGGTTTGGTGCACAAACAGCTTGACAGGTGAACTAAATTTAAAATGTTTTTTAAAAAATTTCGTATCTAAGAATTAAATAAAAATACAGGTTGAGTATTCTTTATCCGAAATTCCCCCAAAAAACCCAACATCCGAAAGTTTTTCAGATGCTTACATGACTTGCCACAAATGGAAAATTTCAGAAAGCATTTGGAAAGTTCCTAGCTGATGAGCAGCGTTTGTAAATGACTGCATCTGCCTAGGGAGGGGGATCCCCAGCCCAGCTACGTAGCCTACGTTGGCGGAACTTTTTGTAGCTATTGTTACAGTCGCACCTTCGTTCAGGGATCACTTAACCATGTGTTTCGTGCTCAGTAAAGATATTATTAAAAATGTTAAAAGTCCTGGAGATACCAATATGAGTAGTGAAAAGAAGAAAAAAAAAGCATTTATGTTTATCAATATCACAGAATGTCAAACTATTGGAAAAAAAAACTCGACAGAGGTGTAAGTGTGAAACATCTGACTGAAGAGTTTGGCGTTGGAACTACCACCATATCCGACCTAAGGATACGGAAAGAGAAATTGTTAAAGTTTTATGCTAAAAATAAACAGAAATTAATGTAAAATAGAAAAAAAAAACACTGCACAGAACAAAAAAATGATAATCTCGATCGGATATTGTTGGAGTGGATTCGTCAACGTCGGGTTGAACATGCCGCTTATATAAAACTACCTTCAGGGTCAGAGCCGTCTTAACGTGTGGGCCTGATGAGCATTTACCCAGGGCCCAATAAGTATAGGGGCCCCATGCTAATCTGTGTATGTTAAGTGTCTTGTGTTACAAAAGCCCTCTTTCAGGAAATACTAAAAATAGAAATTACTACGACAAGCCACTCGTATTACGATTGTTGAAAATAGAAGTCATAATGTAAAGATCGATTTCATTTGAAGTGGTTCTCGAATAAAAAGAAAGTGGGAGAATGTTCCCTTTTGACCTAGAAGATACACTAGTTTGACTCGCCAGTTCAGTTCCCTTGCAAACAAGTTCGCTATCACAGAAAAGATCAAATAACTGACCCTAACTCCCGACGATCAGACTTCACACAGTTCTACCACAGGCTCACCAGTATAACACTCATTCCAATCCCGAAATACGATTTGCAGGTCGGGAACATTAGAATCAAGCAGACACAGAAGTTTAATTATCTGGGAAGCGTCTTGACAGAGGACGGTAAGTGCGACACTGAGATCCGTAGACGTATTGGGATGTCCAAGGACACATTCCAAAAGCTGGACAGGAAGATTTCTTTGGAAACGAAGAAAAGAATACTGAGCAGTTACGTGACATCTGTCCTTCTTCGCGGTAGCGAATGTTCGACGATTTCCTCAAAGACGAAGAAGAGACTCGAGGCGACGGAGATGTGTTTCTACAGAAAGATGCTAAAGATATCATGAACCGTGCCTGTGAGCAACGAAGAGGTCTTAGAGAGGATGCAAACAAGGAGGAGGTTTATATTTTACATCAGAAAGAGGTAGCTGAAGTTTCTGGGAC